ATTAAACACCATGAGAACCACGCAGCATAACCTTACAAGAAAACCGTCTCTGCTGACCTGTTCACCACCCATTCTTTGATTTCGTTCTTCAATCTCATCTGCAACTCACGTGGTCCCCTTGGAAAGACAACACATAGTCGCTCAAGAACGATTGCATTAGAAAGCAGCAGCTTGGCCATACACCTCTGTGCCTCGTGGCCCTGGTAGTGCACCAGGTTGATCTCCCTCAATCGATCACGCAAGCACGGGATCAAAACATCCGGAACCGTAAGTTCATCCCTGATCTCATAAGGGTGCATGAACAGCGACAAAATCTGAATGATTGGAACCCGCTCCAGTATCCTAGTCACCGCCTCGACGCTGGTTGGATGAACGAAAAGGTGCCATGGCAAACGGGTGTTTGGACACCCTGTTATCCAGTGCGTCCAGTTTTTTAAAGATTCATGCTGAGACTAGACAACAGAATATCATTTACGTCTGCATGTTAATTAAACAGTTGTTTTACAGACCAGAACAGTGTCCGTCCTAGGCTGCAGAAGACAGAGTAGGTCGACGTGACAGCACCGTCATAGGCTAGATGGCTAGAAGCCCTAGATGCAGCTGTGTCAGAGGAATCTGAAATCAACAGTGCATATGCGGCTTACTTTTTGGGTTTTGCAAATCACAGGAGAGTTGCAGGCGGTGGTGCAGATCTCAAAAAGTACTGAAACTGACGTGAACGGCTTAGATAATGGGGTGTCGGGACACCCGGGACTTGAAAATCCAATCTCTTGGATGAAGGCATCCTGTCAGCTCAAGGTTCGTGAGGCTCGGAAACAAGGTGAATCCCATGTCTGAACCGAGATGTGTAGACACTATATGTAAATGCCTCGTGCCCGTGAACTGCTCGAGGAACATTCTGATCAACCTGGGTGAATCTCCGCCGTAAACCCTATTGCCGCAGAAGCCGAGGATGTGGCATGAGGAGATGTTGTGGGCGCCCTGCAGGCTTAGGAATGCCTCCGCCGGCACGGCACCCCTGTACTCGAACTCCCTCAGCTCCGACGCGTCGACGGTCACCTTTACGAGATTGTGGCAGCACCGTAGGGAGAGTCTACGGAGGTGCTTGTCGAGGACGGTGATGGTGTAACTACCGCCAAGATAGGGCGTTGTGTACCCGCACCTCTCCGGCGTGAGGTCGACGAGGCGCGGGCAGCAGGAGATGAGCCGCTGGATGCTTGCGCCGCAGTCCCGGGCGTTGATGCTGCTCAGGAGCAACGTCTCGAGGAGAGGCAGGCGGGTGACCTCCGGCGGATCCAGAGCGCAGCCGCCGAGGCAGAGCGTCCGTAGGGCGACGCAGGAGAGAAGAGCCTTGCCGGCAGCATGAACGGATCCGCATCGTAGGGGCTGTGCGCGGTGCAGCCGTGGTCCGCCCTGTCGCGGGCGCCAACCTGATGCTCGCCGATGACGGTGATCTGGAGGCGGAGGTCGAGGTGGAGCTCCGGCGGGGTCCGGCGCAGCAGGTGGGTGAGCCACTGGCTCACCATGGCCTTGTCCCAGTTGTCGTAGCAGCCGAACTGGACGCGGAAGGCACGCGGCGCCGCGTTGCGATCGCCGGCGCAGAGAAGCGCCGCGTTGATGTTGTCGAGGAGCGGCCCGTTCTTGCTCCGGCGCTCCACGGAGTCCACGAAGAAGGTGTAGTCGTCCTCGCTTGGGCCATAGCGGGCGACGTGCTCCACGAAGGAGATGGCGTGGACGTGGGCGAACTTGTGGCGCCAGCTCCTGGCGAGCGCGGCGGCGCGGGCGGCCTCCTTGGTGGGGTTTGTTGGTAGCATATATATCTCGCGGGTCTTGTGGGTTTGTAGATCGATCTCGTGAGAATCTACGTACAAGTATGGTTCCTTTTGTTAAAAAAAGTGCGGTTCCTTATGATCCTAGGTCGGTTCCGATTAATTTGGTATATGGCCGACCACTCGCATCTTCAATAGCTACCCATAATTTTTCTTCTTCCACGTACAGGAAATCAGTCTACGGACATGAATATAGAAGGATGCCATCCAACGATAACATATATATATCCATAAGTAAATTCAAATTCAATGTAACGCTGATACACACAACGCGACAGATCATATCCGCGCCGAATCACAATCCTGATCATAACCAAAAAAAGGCAAAAAAATTAGAAAAGGAGGACCCCCAACCTCTGCATCTGGATGATGCATGTAGCCACTTTATTAATTATTCACGTAAGACATTACAAAGTGATACAACAGTAAGACTAAAACCATCGTCTAGGCAACATCTGTCGCTACTCCTATCCAGTTGATGAAGGGATGCTGATAGTCTAGGCCTAATACCAAACAGACCTCGCAGCCAAATCTACTCCCTCCGTTCCATAATAAGAACGTTTTTGGTACTATACTAGTGTCAAAAATGTTATTATATTATGGGACGGAGGGAGTAACATTTAAGACCCGAGGTCCCAACCAGGACGCTAGCCGGGTATGAGGCACCCACCAGTCCGGCGCACTTCTCAGCCAGGACGCCTGCCGGGTATGAGGCCGCCGCGGCCACCTGCCACCAATCCATCTTCAGTGTTGTACTGCTGCATCCACCTTGCCTGGCCTCTCTGCCATCGACGCCACCATGACGCCAGACAACGTCATCCTCCTGCGCGAGTCCCTCGTCACACATCGGACGCCGAGTCTCCACTGCGCCACGCCGCCGAGATACGCCACCATTAATGTGTAGGATGAAGCACTGCTCCACCAAATAATCCGTCCACTGGTCCCGTGCACACCTCCAAGAGTGACGCCACAAGAGGAAAACGACACAATAATGCCGCCGTCATCCGATCTACTGATTTAGGGTTTTCCCCAAAGGTAGCAAATAGTGGCCTGGAATGTCTCAACAGCGATGCCTTCAACAAGGGAACGACACCGAATAGTGCCGTCATCGCCGGCCTCGGCAGCAGCCGTGAGCAGGTCTTCACCCAGATCTATTTCAATGGCCTCCATCAAGTTTCTTGTGCACGGATCGTCCAACACCGCGGCCGCCGCATCGCCCATCGTGAGTCCATAGCCGCCGACACATCCTCCGCCGTCCCGGGGCCGCCGCCCCGGGATCCAGCCCTCGCTGGCCGCCGAGTCCTGCCCCCGCGCGCGATGCGCATCGGACCGGGATGCCGCCGGCCGCGACCAGGCCCCGACCAGATCTGGGAAGAGGAATCAACCTCCACCGCAGCATCTAGCCACGCGCCGGAGCATCCAAGCGCCGCCAGCCCCCGGCCAGCGCCTGCCACGGAGCCCCGCACCCCTAGGTCGCCGCGCCTGCAAGTCCAGATCGAAGCTCCCGCGGCCCGATCGAAGCTCCCGCGGCCCTCCTCCAGCTGCTAGATGCTCCCAAGACGAGAGGGAAGAAGAGACCTAGGGGAAACGCCCCACCACTGCCATCACTGAAGCCCGTCCGAGCTTTGCCGGCGGCGCCTCAGGCGGCGGCGCGACGAGGGAGGAGAAGGGGAGGGCAGTGGGTGTCGCTGGGAGTCGCCCCCCGTGTCGGCAGAGGAGGGCGACGTGGGGGTCAGAACCAGACCACCAAAAAGAGGCAAATATGCTTAGTAAATCCCTTTCGATCTATGTTTTTCACGTTTGTTCTGTTTTATGGGAGTAAATTATCATAATGTTTTGTTGTGTATCAAATTTTTTTTTTTTTGCATTTGATTCAAAATTGGATTCGCTGTGTGTTTTCTCAACCTGCAAATATATATACACACTTAAATAATGACAGATATAGTTTTTGACCGCTCCATCGAAAACAGCTTAACTTCAACTAAATCGATCTGCAAATATATATACAGTTTCATAATGACAGATATAGTGTCTGACCTCGATGATATTCATTGCTTACAGGAGGCATCATGTGTTGCATCAGTACAATGATCTTCGTCCATTTGCTACGTACACACCAAATAACTTAACACAAATGTCAAGCCACATTGCATAAACCAACGTTTATTCAGGTACACACAAACTGGCGTGCATCTCTTGCACCTTTTTATTATCTGGTTCATCTACAGTACAACTCAGTACTACTACCTCTCAACAATCAAGTCACAGGTGATCTGCATCTGCTTTACATTATTTTTTGAAGCTCTGGCTGCTATTTCTTCTCATGTAAAATTTCTTGACCGCGGAGGATGTTGACTTTGCACTAGCTTCAGCCGGATCGCCATTTTCTCGCTCGCGCATTGCCGGGTCAGTCGCCGGATCCGTGCTTCCCCTCCTCAGTGACGAAAGGGTCCTTGCAAGGTCGCTCTCGTTGTCCACTTCTTGGGTTGCCATACCATGCTTCTCCATCTCATTATCCTCAGGGGCGTCTTCCTTTGACATGTTCTCTCCAGTTTCAGTATCCGATTCCTTTTTCGGCTCCTTGTCTGAAGCAATTTCGATATGTGTTGTCTCCTTGTCTGAACTCTTTGCGCAATCTGAAGTTGTTTCATTCGTCTGCTTTGGTATTTTCCGCGGCCTGCCCCTTGGACGTTTGGTAGTCTCTGAACTAGTTGGTTCTTTGCCTTGATTGTTAGTCTCTGAACTAATTGGTTCTTTGCCTTGCTTGGTAGTCTTTGAACTAATTGGTTCTTTACCTTGCTTGGTAGTCTCTGAACTAATTGGTTCTTTGCCTTGCTTCGTAGTCTTTGAACTAATTGGTTCTTTGCCTTGCTTGGTAGTCTCTGAACTAATTGGTTCTTTGCCTTGCTTGGTAGTCTCTGAACTAATTGGTTCTTTGCCTTTAGCTTGTACGGTATTGACCCTCTTTTCTTTTGTGTCAGACCGAGGATTCATGCTAGCGGAGGTGCCACCATGAGCTGCAACATGGTAAGGTAAAATCATTAGGCGCAATAAAGAGGAAACACACAACGCGTCATATTGAGCTATAATCAAAGTAATGTATAAAGTGCATATTGGTTCGAAAGTTTGCTTGTATCGACCGCTGTCAGGTTTGACATATATACTTTGGTTGTCCAAATTTAAGATTCAGTAACTGTACAACAAAGGTTCATAAATTAGGTAACTATTATACAGACTGAGGCCAAACAGAACATGAAGCAGAGGAACTGCTGTAGAACATTCTCCAGATACTATATCAAAAGATTGTAAACATTGTAGCCTGTGTACTTCCAATGTCTTCTCTACAACAATTTAAACCAAAACATCTCTCACAAGATTCTAATATTAAACAACAGAATTTGATATGCAGAGTTTAACTTTCATTCCTGGGACATGGACATGATGTGCAGATTTTGACCAACATGCAGATCTTCTTCAATTTCATTCAAATGTTTCCAGCATTTATAGTAGCAAGTAGAACGCCAAATGGGAGAGTACAAAATGTCAATACCCTTGCCGGGAGCTACCAAATAACCACCAGGATTTTCAGTTCAAGCGGACCAGTTTCGTGTGTAGGTGTTGGGCGGGGCCTCTACTCAGACAGCGACCAGCACCTCCTGATCTAGGTCAGTGACATGGACTGGGCCCTATGGGTTGAAGTGGAGATGGGTCAGGCCCAATACCGGTTCAAGACTTCCCCTCAAGATGGGTGGTAGATATCTATCAACCACTCTTGCTCTGCTAAAAAAAAAAAAATCAACCCCTCTTGCCATATGCCAAGATATAATCCTCTGCTACTAGTAGCTTTGTCAAGCAAACTGCAACCTGCTGCCCAGAACTGACATGAGCAAGGCTGATGATCCCATCATCAAGTTTCTCTTTAGTGAAGAAGCAATAAATTTTCACATGGTTTGTCCTATCACGTTAAACTGGGTTATTGCCAACGCTTTATAGCTAACTGGTTGTCACACAAAACTCTCAAGGGTCACTTCCTCAGAAGTTTCAACTCGCTCGATAGGTTCTTCACCCATAGCATCTCACTAAACCCTTGAGATAAAGCTCTATACTAAGCTTCCGTTGTTGATCTAACACAACTGTCTGTTTCCTGCTTCTCCATGACACCAAATTTCCTCCCAAAAACACATAATAGCCGTTGATCTTCTATCATCTTCACAACTGACCCAATTAGAGTCACTATAGCCAGGCCCCATACCTTTTTAACACCTCCCAAGCACAAATTCAACTCCCTGACGCATCTCATGTACTCTATGAATATATTACCTGGGCATGTTCCTTGACTCCTGAAATCTCCATTGTGCATGGCATGCAAGAGTACTATAAAAATATATCTCAACTACTCTAATAACATTATGAAATATAAAATTACCAGTACAATATTCTTGTTGTATTCTGCATATTAGTATTAATAGATAAGGAGTTTGAGCGTTTGACTGAACTACCAGAGATAAAGTCCAGTTATACTACAATCCTCGCTTGCTGATTTCATCCCCCATAGCATATCAACAACATATTAATGTCAGAAATAAGCAGGGGCATATAGTAGGCTAGTGTCATAAAAAGTTAATTAACATTCAATACAACAAAGATCAGACCAAACATTTCATATGCAGTAACTTGAGGACTACTCAATAAGAAAATAAGTATGTAACCAGTAACAAAAAGTAGTAATCAAACTATCAAAATAGAGTTCAACAAAAAGTAGTATAACTGTGCCTTATATAGCTATCAAAATATCACCTGACCAGTAACAGTAGGAACTATACTCTGAGAACACCATGTAACCAGTAACTGCAGGAACTTACAGCGATTCGACGTCTGGTCATCAGGTAATTTCTTTTCGAAGACCAACGATTGCACAGATTTTTGTTTTTTCTTCCCTGGTACTTTCAATCGCTTCAGCATTTTTCGAGGCTGGTAGTTAAGAA